CTCGAAGGCGCCCCGCGCCGCGCCCCACCGCGGCCGCCGCAGGTTGTTGCACGTCCCGTCGTGGGCCCGGTACCGCCGGTGGAAGCACATGTCGGAGCAGTCGGGCAGACGCCTGGGCGCTGTGCACCCGGATAGGTTGGCGATGATGCCAACGTAGCGCGGGGCCACCAGGTCGTTGTAGCGGAAGCCTGAAACCCAAAGCAGTGACAGGAATGAGGCTGGGGCAGAGAACCCCGAGGGCTTGGCGCTTTGGGGACCCCCCACCGTGTGTCTGACCGCCTTTCCCCGGCCACAAAATTCCTGTAGGGCCCCAGCAAGTGCCCTAACTCAAAGGAAGGAGAGGTAGTTGTGCAGAGATAGATCCAAAAGTTGTAAAAGACTAACACAACATACAGAGAAGTTAAGCCAGTACTGCCTGTTCTTCAAACAACGTCTATCTGTGAGAATCAACAAAATGAAACGAGAAAAAAGAGCCAGCTTCCGTCTAGTAGTGGGACTTTGTACACACAGTGTATGCGGGTCAGAGTTTGTTACGGTTCACCACAGCATTGCTTTTATGACACTGCGTTTCTTTCCAATTTAGCATTCTTTCTTCTACTTTTGCGCTTTCAGAGGGCAAGGTCAAAGGCATATCCATACGGGTGATGCGACTGTTAATTTAAGTGATATCTGACAAGGAAGAATTAAGCGGTAGCTTCCTAAACTACTACAGACTGTGGAACTATCCCCCTGTCCACGCGCAGGGCCAGCGCACAAGGCAACAGACGTCCTTTATCTTGGGGCCATGCCTCTTAGAGTCTTAAAATTCCAGTTTATCCCAAGTCTAAAGAGACTACTTACTGAGTCATGCTTACAAAGTGTTTTTATCCCGAACTGTCTCAGAAGTGGGCCAAGGGTACCAGGGCCATGTGTACATTACCTGTTAGCCAGTCCCTGGCTAGGCCCTCAATTACCTTGGTCTTGGGTAGAATCAAGACTCTTTCTGCATAGCCATTGAGGGTATAGATACTGAGTTTATATCTAGTGTAAGGTACTCCTAAGCTTCAGAAGTACAAAGGCCTTTAATTTTACAAATAATGAAGAACAGGTAAAATAGAACAGTATTTTCTCCCTTGGGAGAATTCATAAAAGCTCTTAAATACTTGAGATGAGAAGATAGACTCAGTTTGACAATGAACATGGGACAGTCTTCAGCAAAGCTACTTTTGCATATATGTTTATTGTTTCTTGTTTTCTAGTTAGGAATTTAGGCTGTTACTCCCCAAAAGTAGATCTTCTTCTAGTGGAAATATGTGAATTTGGCCTAACAGAGCCAAGAAAACCTGTGGGCCTTGATGGAGACCACTACAAAGCAGACCTGAGCAGGATTTAAATGAATCAATTGGCTTTTCATGTTCACTTGTGAATCTGCCCAAGGCCTAGGCTTCTTATCTGGAAATGGTGGACTCATAGTAAGTGAACCTCTGTGAGTCACTGATCTCTACTGAAACCTGTAGTGCTGGATGAAGCCTCAAAGGATAAAACAAGATCATAGCCAAGGACACCTGGATCAGACCTCAGCTGGATAAAGACTATCGCCTCAGGTGTCTCATTCTTCAGTGGATAAGCTTAATACCTTACTTAGAGAAGTCCTTGAGTGGTTCCACCCTTCTTGCATACTCCCCTCCCTTCTTCTGATAACCAAATAAATACAGGCCACTCAGAGAAGATTTTGGTCTTAGCTCTGAGAGAATCTTGAATTCTGTGAGAGGGCTTTGATCCTCCTGGAGCCTGAAATTATTCCATTTGTCTCTTTTTATCTAGCCTTCACTGTACACTTGTTCAGGAGATTGCAGACCTGATCAGCCTACAATAACTAAGGGATATTATTAACCTGATAGGGCCTGAGCTTTATTTTCAGTCAAGATGGAAGTAAAATTGAGTTTTATGAAGACTCAAGAACCACAGTGAACTCACACCTGGTGTGATTCACACAGTAGCCATAAGTTTGACTAAGATGCTAATATGGGCTGGTATGCAAATTTTACTGGGTGTATCAGTTAGGTAGGGAAGCTATGAAAGCCCCAAACACAATGATAGGCTAGGGACAGGCAAATGTACTTAGGAGTGATGGTTCAGAAGACCTAAACTTGAAGCAAGAACACAGGCAGTCTGCCTTACCTTCGTTGGTTTTCTGAAGGAAAAAGAAAAAGAAAGGATAAGCCTATGAAAAGTGCCATTACACTCACAGTAAAAATAGCGCATAGCAAAGTACCATATTTGTGAATTTCATTTTACAGAGAAACTCTGTAGAAAATCTGAAAGCTTTTTATGCCATCACACTTGACATTTACTAAGTAGATGTCTGGTTTTTGGAAAGAATTACATAAGAACTTGAACATAGCAAAAGAAATCACAAAGAGAAGTGGGCAGGATGTGATAGATGATGGAAGGAATTTCAAATAAATTCACTGAGTGATTTGGGTGATGGCAATAAGTAGAACATTTCCCTAGGACTAAAGTAGAGCTCTATAGGATGTAGTAATAGCTTTTGCATTTGAAAAGTTCACATCAACTGTATCCCCAAATTTGCTCACTATATATCTGACTGGCAAAAGTGAAGTCAAATTAGACTATGTATTTATCATCCTTACTTTTGAATTACAGTCTTCATAGAAATATCTGTATGTATTTAGCAAAATTGGTAAGCAAATTGATTTCTAAGTCACATGATGTTCTGTAGCTGAAAAGCTCGGTGTTCCTTGGTGAGGCAAAAGACAGGTGTGCTACCAATGATAGACTTAGGAAAGAAGGGGTCCGAGCTGACCTCTGCCTTCCAGGTCAACAGTGAGCCCCTGTTTCATGCGTTCCTGGATCAGCTGCAGCATGTCCTCAAACATCTGCCCTGCTCTCTCTATCCCCGCGGTGAATGGATCACCCGCATAACGAAACTGAGCCAACAGATCACCGGCAGTGTGAGGTTTTCTGCAAATCAGAAAAGACAAGAGCATTTGCAAGGCAAAACTACAGAATCCATAAAGCTTACATATGTTGTACATTTATGAAGACATTTTCCAAATGTTAAAGAATAAAAAGATCCACCATTGGAAAAAGGAACCTACATCTTTTTGACTTTTTATAAACTGAATTCTAAGCGTTGGTCATAGCACTGTTTGAGAATAATGCATCTTTTTTATTTTAAAGATAAAACAACAAAAGTGTCTTAACACACATACATTTAGAAAATAACACAAAAACAATACAAGCAATACAGAATTTCAGACAAGGTGATAGGAAATTAGCAATGGTTGTTGTATTATTCAATCCAACTATTCCTCTTCTGGGTATTTTCCCAGAAGAACTGAAAACATCATACCACAATGATATTTGTGCACCCATGTTTATAGCAGCACAATTTGTAATACCTAAATTGTGGATGCAACCCAAATGTCCATCCACTGAGAAATGGATAAAAAGTTGTGGTATTTTTACTTAATGGAATATTGCTCAGCTATAAAGAAAGATAATCTCGAGTATAATGCATCTTTGATGAACTAATGATTTAAACAATAGTTCTTGACAAAAAGTAAAATCTGTCATGGTGGGAGAAACAGAGTCCGTGTATGGGTCTGAGGAGGCCTAGTGGACCATCCAAAATAATGTGCAACACTCTCAGGTTGTAGATTTTGGTGAGTAATGTCTGTCTTCTTTTTTCCAAATGTAAGTGCTAGGACATTCCCCCACATCTTTAGAATCCTGCTTGGACATAACATGCCCTGGGCAGTCCCCCTAAGAGCTCTGACCAGTTATCACTCTACCTTCTTTACTACTTCTATACCCTTTCATACATCTGTTATGTACATACCCAAATGTCCTTAAATCATTGAAATATTGTCTCGTCTACTAAAAAAGCTGGGACTGGGATAAAATTATGTGGTCTGCATCTTAAATGTGTGACAGTAACTCATGTATTTTGGTCCTGAGCCTATGGCATGGCTTGGAGGTGGTGAAAATTTTAGGAGACACGGCCTAGAAGGAGGAATTTAGTGCATTAGAGCAGTGCTTTCAAAGGGGGTAGATGGATTCCACCCCTTTCTCTCTCTGTGTCATTTCCCAGCCTGTATGATACAATCAGCTTTACTCTGGCACACACTCACCCACTTGCACCATAATACTCAGCCTCACCACAGGCTCAAAGTGCTGGGGCCAAGCATTGACGGGCTAAAGCCTTTGAAACCTTGAGTCAAAATAGTATTTTCTTTCTTAAAGTTGTCTATCTGGTGTGTTTTGTCACAGCACAGTAAGCTGACTAACACAACGTCCTGCTCATCTTGGTATCCCCAGTACCAAGTAGAGTGGCCAGCACACAGAAGTGGTTTATGCACACTTGTAGAAATGAAGTAAGTAAGTTCAAAAGAGAAACTGAAGTCACTGAAAATAGGAGGCAAATTGTTTTAGGCCTTTGCATCAACTGATGGACATCTTACCTTCTATGCCTGGAACCATAATAATTTTAGTTATAGAATAATAGCAACACTTCTAATAGCTCCTCAATTAAATGCTTTCTGTGCACCAGGTAGTGTTGAAGCACTTGATCTATATTATCTTTCTAGAATGCATACCCACAAAGCAGGTCCTATTCTATCCCAATTTTATAAGCAAGAAGCCTGAAATACAAATATTAGGTCATTTATCTAAGGTCACTCGGACTGTAAGAGATGTTGTGGGGGACCACAGGAAGAATATAACTAGGTTATACCTACAGTTCTGACACACCAAGCCATATTGTTTGCAGATGTATAAGAAACTGAGTAATAACTTATCAAAGCATTTTAAGTCACTCTTTTTTCTATTTTTATTCTTCGGTAGTGCATATTATTGAGGAGAATAAGGGATTTCACTCTGGCAGATTTGTACAAGAAAAGAACATACTTTGTTTCCAATGCTGTCCTCATTGTCTTGTTTTGGTTAACAACTGGAAACACTGGCTGTATCCAGGGATATGGAAACAAAGATCATCTTATCTTAACACGTTCAAATCTTACAATCACAAAGTAGTTTGTGGGACTGGAAGGTAGCAGTCTCAAATCACTGATTAAGGGAAAATGCCACATAGCCAAACCAACTTTTAACTGTGAGTTACCAGCTTCTTACGAGTGTCATGTTGGCAGTCATTGTCAATACACAGACTACTGGAGTACGGGTTTGACACTGTTTGGAGCACACATACCAGAGCCGATTGCCTAATGTCACTTGTCAGACTATATGGGATAGATCTGTGGCATAAATTAGTGACATTTAGATTCTGCGTGACTCTTCTAACATGAACTAAGCATGAGTGCGAACCGGGACGCTAACATGCACACAAAGGCTAAAGTCAATCTCTGGAAATCTTATGCACTGTTTCTATGTGGTTTTACAGACACAAACTAAGTGATACAGAAATAAAAAAATAATTTTGCATGCAAATTACAATCAGTTCTTACTGGGAAGATGCAGGTCTTCCTGTGGCGTTAATTGCACTGTCAGCTGTCTGCACGACATCAAGAACAGGTGATTCAGCAATGTCGTCACCAGCTTGCTTACCCTGTATTACTTTAAAAATGAATTCCATGATTTAAAAAATCAAACATGCCTGGAAGTGAAAAATTATATATATAGAGAGATAGATAGATAGATAGATAGATATAGATAGATAGATACAGATATATATAGATAAATAGATATAGATAGAATTACATCTGTAAAATGAAAGCTTTTAAGCCAATAAAAATGTTATACAATATTCACATGATAATGACCACTGCAGAGAAGTAGGTTATCCTGAAAAAAGCTTCCACTAACAATAAATATGTTTTTTCTTGTTTGTTTGTTTTGTTTTTTTTCTTTCGGTACCGGGAATTGAACTCACAACCTTGTACTTGCCAGGCAGGTGCTGTGCCGCTCATCTAAATCCCCAGCCCCCAATAAAAATGTTAATGAATTACAGCATTCCAAAGTCTCTTAAAGTTATATGAAAGGTTCTTATCATAATACTGAATCAAATGGGACCCATACTTGCCAGGAATTTGTCATATGCAGTGCCTGCCTCTCCAGCCACCTTGCTTTAGCGTTAAAACAAGGTAATTGTTATTGCATCCGGACAGAGGTTTCTTAGTGCAAGAACTTAGCATTCAGGAAGATTTTAATGGAAAACAGTTCGTGATGCTTCTATAACTGCAGCGTGTGACAGTTCTGCAAAGTTGACTATTGTACAGGAAGCTGGGCTTGCAGCTGATCATCTTCATCATACTGAGTCTTCTCTACATGGTGGTAGAAAAACATTACTTCTAAGGAGTAAATACTGAGCAAAAATAATGATTAACTAAGGCTCACATTAGGGAAACAATCGTGCAAGTTCATAATACTAAACTCAGCTTTTATGTACTAGACATACAGTAAAATTTATGTGATCCAGAAAGATGCTTTTTAGCCCTGTTGAATATTGAGAGCCAGAGAAAGCAGAGCTTCATGAATTGAGCTTGGAGATGACAATAGTAAGGGAAATTTACAAAGATGAACAATTTAAATAGCAATAGAAAGGCACGTGCTCTACGCATTATTGAAAAGAGCCAAAAAAAGGTAACTAGAAATAAGGAAACTACTTAAGCCTAAGCCAAGTTTGTATCATAATATAGTCTGTCATAACATGTCCGTCTGTCTGTCTATCTATCTGTGTTATACATATTTAGGCTTATACACTTCGACATTAATGGGTCTATGTAGCATTCTACATATTGATATAAGAAACTTTATAATTTGACATATAGAAACTAGATTGATTCATTGTATTCAAAGACTGATAACAGAAAACAGTTCCAAGAGAAACTAATAATGGTACAGAAATATTTTAATATTTTATGGAGAGACAATAAAATCCAGGATTGTGAGGAAAGCTCCTGCTGGGGTAGATCACATGCAGTGATTATGAGTGGGGGCTAAGCTGTCGATGCAATTCTGATTTTATGATAACCACAAGATAGAGGTTATAGAAGATTAGTGTTGGCTTTCTTAACTCCAAAATACACACTGAATTGAACACACATTATTTAAAGATTATTTTTAAAATAAGACAAAACTGATCAATTCAACTACTATAGAAAACTAACAGTCTCCTTTCAAAGAATGAGCATGAACCAAAAAAACCTAATAGACAATGAAACAATGTGTGACAATATTTGCAAATTTTAAATCTAACACAGAACTAATCTATTTCACACAAGGGAATTTTAAAACACACTAGAAGAAAAGTATATACAGGATTATTATGAAAGAAAGAAAAATGGATAAAAAAATGTATTTTTATACAGTGCAGTTTTACTCAGTTATAAAGAAGATTAAACTTGAGACATTTATAAGGAAATGGATGCAACTTGGGGCCATACTCATAGTGAAATAAATCAGTCTCACATGGGTAAACATCGTATTGTCTCCCTAGGTTGCAAAGCTAAAAGAGTAAATAAGCTCCAAAATGAACAATTGATATTGTGAAATGGGAAGAAACTGCTCAAAAGGAAAGAGAAACTGGAATGGGGGAAAGGAGAAAAGGAGGAAGGAGAAAGGAATTCTATTATTTTGTGTATATATATATACACAAGAAAATAGTTAAGATAGTTACACTACTAATAGCTATTAGCTCATTCAAAAGAAAGCTTTATGCCTATACTGTTTAATCAATTTTTCATGCCTACATCTTGTAATATGAGCAACTACTTTGAAAATAACACTACGCAATGTTCTAACCATTGTTACTCTCGTACAAGCTTGTTTTGAAATTTTATACTATTACCTTTATTGTTTATTTTTCTTCTCTTTAAAATAAAAAAAAGAAAAAGAAAATCCTGTTATTTGCAAGAAAATGGGTTTATGTTACTTTATGTGAAATAAAACAGACCCAGAAAGATAAATACTGGCATATTTTCTCTCACCTGCGAAATGAAGAAAACATCCACCTGCAAGGAGAGTAGTGATTACTCAGGACTGGCAAGAGCGGCAGATTTTATCAGGCCTGCTATTTGAATTTATGAAAATATCTTGCTGAACTCCATCTATGTGTACAACTAATATATGTTAATAAAAATAATTAACTAATGATTTTTTGGGAAAAAAAATGAGCCTAGATGTAATTTTTACTTGGAAATAAATTAACCAAGATCAATCAAATTATTCTTTCCTGGTCTGTAGGCTGATGTGATTATTTGATCAAGATATTTTCTTTTTCTTGGTCATGCTCTCACTCCTTCACTTAGGACCACATGGGTGGAAGGTGGCATTAATCATGTGCATCTATTCACCACAGGTATTTTCACTGGGCCCTTGTGTTGAAGCGAAATACCTACTAAAAGATCTTAGACTTGGAAGTAAGAAAAACTGTGTGCTAAGCTTGGGTTACCACACAAGATATAGTAAAATTGGACGCCCAAATTCAGAAAGCTACTCACTTTGACAGACAAAACTTGGGGGGCAAGTTATACATATCCGGTAAGCATCACTTAACATGTTAATCCAAATTTTATTTGACTGCTAAGTTTGCTTTTATTCTATTTATAAAATATTCTTGCTGTGATACTTGTATAAAAGTTGTAAGCATGAGGGGGCTGGGGATTTAGCTCAGTGGCAAAGCGCCTGCCTGGCAAGCGCAAGGTCGTGAGTTCGGTTCCCGGTACCGGAGAAAAACAAACAAGCAAAAAACAAACAAACAAACAAAAAGTTGTAAGCATGAGGAAGTGTACAACATTCCTGTTCATCCTTTGACTTACCCATAGAATGGAAGTAACAAGACTTGTTCAGCAGAGGCCACAAGACTCACATGGTTAACACATGTGAATATCAGATAAAAAGACATGGAAAGTCACTCCACAACTACATGTCACAGTGTGAATGTGGGGAGGCTTCTGTCATTATTGTGCTACTAAGCATATAGCTAACCTGTACCTTCACACAATGATCAATTGATACTGCGTTATCCTGTCATTTTAGTAAACCTAATTTGTTATTTCTTGATATTACTAAAAAGCCCACTAGGGTATAGAAGTAAAAAATGAGAAGAAAAGAGTAATACAGTAGGTGGCCTAATATGTAAATATTCTTTGAAACAATTAAGTTCTAAAGTGCACAGATAAAATTATGGAACCATCATTTGTTCATGGATTCTTAAAACTATATTAAATAAATATACAGTATATTCACATAAAAACATTCTTGGTAACAACACTTTCGCATTTTTTATTATTTTAATTAGGATTTTGAAATGTTTCTATTATTCATTTGATTTCAGTATTGTTTTATTTGGTTTGGTAGAAACTCCAAAACTACTGCCCTAAATTTCTTCAGAGCAGTGCAGGGTTACGCAAAGCAAATTCGGTATGTAGAGGACACCCTGGAATCGGTCAGCACTGCACCCACTTGGTTCCAAAACCTCTCCATTAATGACATGAAAAATGCAATAATCAGAAAATTGCAAGTATATTCTGTCTTTTAATGAAAAATTTCACAGAGCCACAGGAAGAATTAGATCATTTTTCTTTAAGTCTCACCTTTAATGTATATAAGAAAAAGATTCCTACATATATATGGAATAAATACATGTTTAAAGTTGTCTGACGCTCATCCACTATTATGGCTTGTGTCCAGATGTCCCCCAAAGCCTCAAGCATTCATAGTGTTGCTTCAGAGATGCCTGAATCTAGAGTGTGTGATTGATTCATAATGCAGTACTGGGATTAAGAGTGCTGGGAATAAGAGTGGACGGATGCTAGATCAGTCCCCTGGATATAATATAAGGGACAGAAGAAGGATTCTCTCTCTCTCTCTCTCTCTCTCTCTCTCTCTCTCTCTCTCTCTCTCTGTCTCTCTGTCTCTCTCTCTCTCCCCATTTCTCTCACTTATTGAGTCTACTGTTTTCTGCTGCCATAATCTGTTGCCCTCTGCCATGTGCCACTCTGCCTTGGAGCCAGCCAAGTATGGACTGAAACCTCTACAGACTGTGAGCTAAACAAACCTTTCCTCCCTTAACTTGTGGGTGTTGGGTATTTTGTCTCAGCAATGAGAAAATGAACTAATACACCTACTTCCAATACTATCCACGAGTCTGTGAGACTCCATCACCACCACTGGATGGTAAAGCCAAATAATAAAGATGAGTCTTCAGAAAAAGAGAACTTAGCCTGTGGCCACCCATGGAAAGCTTTTCTCTAGATGACTTGGGGACCAACCCTAGAGGAGGGATGCTAAAATAAATCAACCATGTCCTTGCTATGAGTTCACTACAAAATGCCAGACCACCAAAAAAGAAGCTCACTTTCTTCTCAATTATCAGCACAGCTTTTGACTATTTTCATCTTTTTCTGGAGAAAAAAACTACCAACAGAATGTAACTATCAAAACTAAATGGACCTTATCACACTCGGTGGACCTTATCTCCCTCTAAAAAGAATGCCCTTGATCCTGATACTGTAGAGGCATCTGCACTCCACAGGAACTGAAGTTAATGACTGCCTTTGTGAAGTCAGTTTATTCCAATAGCAATGTCACTTATGTCATTAAGCATGCAGAAG